TCTACAACCAAGTTTGAGTCATATATTCAGATCTAATATAGATATATATGTAGAATCACATGATCTATAATATCTATCTAATAAATTGACCAAAAATTTCCCATTCTACACTAGATCAAATAAATAAGGTATAACTTTTTTCCTTCATTATAAACGACTTAAATACTAATTGTACATTCTAAGTAGATTTACATTGTTTCTAAACTAGCTTTTTAAGTCCTCTTCTTTGTCCTTCAACTCTTACATCTAACTTCTTATCTTCTCCTATCAACAACAATAAAAACAACATATACCAAAGTATTCCTAAAGAAAGGACTAAAAGTTCTTACTACATTCCAAATCCTAACTACTATCTTTTGCTTTAATTATATTTTTATCCATCTTAATTTGCATCCATCTTAATTTTCATCCATCTAAATCTTCATTCATTATTTCCATATCTTCATCTATTTAATTGATCATATAATCAATTAAACATAGATATTGCAAACTAGACAATAACTATTAAAGATTTGTCAAATAATAATAGAATTTATTAGTCTATTAAATACTTGATTAAAATTATAATAAAATTGACGAATTTGTAATTATAGTTTGCTTTCTAAAATATATGAATATCCATTGAAATAGAAAATATTATTTTTAGACTCAAATTCAAAAGTATCATAAAATTTAGAAGAATTATTTTTAATACCACAAAAAAAAAACTAAAGACATACCTAATTTAACTTGATTAAGAAGAGTTGAATCAATTATCGATTTTGATTTTATTGCTTAAAGATGGAATTTTTTTAGCTTCAAAAGAATAATTTTTTATTAATTAAAAGCTATATTTTTTTTTACTAGCCTAAGATAAAAACATCTAAAAAAGGCATTTGACAAACCTTGTTGTTTTCTAGCAAATAAATAATATCAAATATAAATCTTGATAATCATATGCTCTAATATATTTTTCAATGATTCAAAATATGTATTGACATAAAATACTTGGGATTCTTGTGATTTATATCAACAATCATTGGACTAAAGGCACCTTCAACATAATGATTCCATGCTTGAAATGAATCAATAATGGCAAGAAGTTCTTTTTTATAGATATTATAATTCATCTTAGTTTCTAAATATTTTCTTAAATAAAAAGCTAATGGATGTAATTTGTTGTATGCTTTCATTTACAACCATATTGCATCCAAAGCAAAGTCTAATTCAATTACTTATATAAAAGAATACTTTAAAAAATCAATGCAATATGAGATTGATGCAAAAATAAAAGTTGTCATTAAGGCTTCAAATGCTCCTTTAGCTTATTTATTCTACTTAAGTTTTTCTTTACATGTTGAATGTATAAGAGGAGTTTTGACTTAAAAAGTATTTCTAATAAAAATTTAAAAGTTATTAGAAAATTTCAAAAATAATTGAACATCTCTTATTATTTTTAAAATCTTTTAATCCATGATAGTTTGAATCCATCATAAGATCATTATTTGATATAATATATCTAAGAAAAAAACTTGAATAGTCTAAAATATATATTTTTTATTTTTTTGGGAGTTTTTTCATCTCTTTTTTTTTATGTATATCAAATTATATACTTCTTGTAGATATATTTTTATTGAAATCTTCCTTTAATTCAATTGATTTAGAAGTCTAAATATCAAAAATAGAAGGTATCTATACACATTTGTAGTAATCCAACTTTTTCTTTCAAAAATAAGTTAAAAGCTCCTACTAAAGATTTTGAATGTTGTATGAAGTTTTTAGCCAAATTTTCAACAATATACTCTTCAAGTGCAGCCAATTCATATTGTAATAAACTATAGATTGGTCCAAATGGCAATTGAGCTCATTCTTGAAAGTTAATTGAATAATTATAAGAAAAATACTTTAAAAGATTATTTACATTCTTTTTATCAAAAATGCCTTGATAATCTTAACATTGGCTTAAAATTCTATTTGAAGTCTATTTATTATTAAATAAAATATGGCATAAATAACAAAAGGTGACATTTTTTTTATAACATGCATGAAATCTTTTGTATCCAAAGATAAGGATTTGGTTGTACTAAACTTTCTATTTGATTAATAAAACTCTTAGTTTTATTTTGAAAAAAGTTAAGACTACAAGAAATCTAATATATTAAAGGATTATATTTTTTAAGCCATAATAAATCTAAAATGACTAGATTAAAAAGAGATATAATTATATTAAATATCTTAAAGCTATTATGATTATTTTTTATTACTTTTTTAGGAAGGATTTTATAGATAATATTTCCAAAAAAAACAAACATCCAACCATGACTTCTATGCATATTAGTTTAATTTATTTTTACTAATAATATGCTACATCTTTTAACAAATTCTTCATCTACAATAGAAGTTGAGACTCTTGAGTCTAATGTGGTAGAGACTTTTTGATTTTTAAATCTTAAATAAATATGTATTATAAAACAAAATAAAAATTTCTAAAAGAAAATAAGACCTTGACTAAATATTGTATAAGATTCAAGTCACATAGTTTTTATTATTGTTGGACAAATTTATTTTGACATATCATCTTTTTTAATAATCATATTTCTTATTTTGTAATTGGATTACTTTTATAGATAATATTAAAGAAAGTATTTAGATTTTCTATAATATAAGCATAATCCTTCTTAATAATGATGATTTTTTTCTTGCTTACTAAGAAACTTAAAACATACTATATTAATTTGTATTTCTTCTACTTCCAAATGTATATACTTAAAAGACATTGACGTTCACATTGAATTGTAAAAATATTGAGGTCTACTTGCACAACTCTTATGTTAAAATTTTAAAAATCAATTGTCACATTTCACAAAAAATTAATTGATATTAGATCACGTCATTTAAGAAAAGATGAAAACAACAATGAAGTAGAACATGAAAATAGAATTTTAATAAATTTAACTTGTGATCTTTAAGTTGATTAACTTTGAGGTTGAAATTCAATCATTGGTTTTATTTTATTGATGAATCTTTCAAACTTTAATCTTCTATCATTAAACTTCTCACATAAGGCAACTTTTGGTTCTTTAATGCTTGAATAATGTTCTATCATAGGAGAAGTAATACGATTTAATATAAATATAAACTAGCTCCAATCATCTCTTTATAATCACTTCTTACTAATCTTGTTGTTCTTTGTGGTGGTAAATTTAGTTAATGTATTACAAGAATTAACTACCTCATTTGATCTTATATTTGTGTCATTGCACTCTTTATTTCAACAAGCTCTCCTATGATAATTTAATAGAAAAAAAATATCCAATATCACTTAAGACAAGTATAAGAGAGGACTTGAGAAGTAAGAAAATTCTAAGAACAATATTAGTTTAGAAGCGGGTTATCTACAACTTCTAAGATATGTGTCCAATTTACAAGGCAAGTTTCATATATGTGTACTACATGTTTAAATTTTATCATGATTGACTAACATTTGTAATACATAGCTAACTTATTGACCTAGTTTTTAACCTATGAATTATCTACAAACACATATGAAGGAAAATTTGCATCTATGAAGCTTTTAAAAAGCTTCTTACAAGATACTATCAAATTTATCTATCTTTATCTACTTCTATATATTTACATTATTTATATAATTATAGTATTAAATATATATATTTATAATAAATATCTATTAATTAATAATTAAATTAATAAAATTTAAATAATTTTTATTAAATAACTATTGTTGACTATTAGGCAATCCAAGTATCTTAAAATCATTTTTGAAAGTTTCTTATTTCTTCAAAATATTTTTATGGAATACTTCAATAGAAGTTTTTTTTTTGACAAACAAAATTAGTATCTAATATAACAATAGTATCAAGTGTGATGATTGTCATTTTTTTTTTAATTATCAAATTAAAAATTCTTTCAAATCATATTCAAAGAAGTAGTATCTTTTTGAGATAAATATTAGAGGATCCAATTCTAGGTCTAAAACTACCTCCACTTCTTCTTCATCATCTTTTCTTTCACTATTTAAAAGTCTTAGGAAGTTGAAGATAATTTTATTATTTTTAGAAATATCGTCAAGATTAAAGAACTCAAAGACTTTGTTAATGGTTTCTATCATGTTCTTGTCTTCTAAGCTCTAACATATGGTATTTACTTTACATACATAAATCACATATAATACGGTTATTATTTACTTTACATACATAAATCACATATAATATGGTTATTACTTTAAACCAATATTTAACTTATTGATATCAATCTCTACCACAAGATTCTTATATTAATCATTATCAATAATTTACATTGCAACTTAGTAGTAGTAGGTCCTACTACTATGTTGCTCCAATAATTATTATTTTCTACTCATTTTCCATCTTTTTTTTACCATCTATTTTTTTTCAGTGGTAAAAAATGGTCATCGACCATATTCATTTCTAATTTTTTAACCCATTTTCCATTAATTTTTTACATCCATTTTTTACCACCAATTTCACCTTAGTAGTAAAAAATGGTCACTATTTGTATCTACTTTTTATTTTTTCCATCTACTTTCTCTTAATATCATGCTTTTACCTTATTACTTTATATGAAAAAAATCTTTATACTATTATACTACAAATTATATCAATTGTTTTTTATGTACCATCATTTAGTTTTAAAATTAATCTTTAATTTAAAACTAATCACATTTACTTTATCAAGTGTAAAGTTATGTTCTTCTTTATTATTCTATTTATTAGCATAATTACCATTACTTATTTTTGTACTACAATTCTTTCTTAACAATTTAATAGTTGTTATATTTGCCTAAGTCTAACATCAACAATTCCTACACTTGAGATAATTTTAGAATGACAAGAAAATACAAGACACTTGTACTAATGAACTATTAGATTATTTTATTATTATTATTATTATTATTAATCTTTACTTCTTAACACTTTATTCTTCACCTCTTTTTTCACTTCAAATCTTCTTCATTTTACAAACAAATATACATAATTATATTTAAATAAGTAAAATTCTTACATATGCATATATTTAAAAAAATAATAGCATGGTTCATTCTAACAGTTGGCCACAAAATTTTATTCCCATATAGAGAAAAAATTGATCATTTCTATTTTACAAACAAAACATGAACACTATCTCTAGGGAAGAGAGGCAAGTCGGACATTGTTGCATAAAGCGAAGGGTGCTTTTTCGATCTTGCATTTGGTACTGCTCATCGTGGGAACCAAAACAGATAAAAAAGAAAACAATGTAATGTGAGGCACAAGAGTGAGCTCTCATCACTGCAACGCCGCACCACCCTCCACACTCCGAGCTACTTTGATGAACACATCCTCCAGAGTGGTATCAGAAAGCCCCCACGCTTCCACATGCAACCGGTCCTTCGCTTGCTCTATCACACTGAACACTGTACCCACACTCACTTCTGTTTTCGGCAGCTCAAACTTCTGGGTCCCTGAAAGGCCATAGATTTTCTTCGCGTTGGGCGTGAGAGACTTGACCAGCTCAATCACCTCTAACTCCTCACTTGGGGGTGTTGTAATTGTGAGCACGTAGAGGCCGCCATACCTGGCCGTGAGCTGCTCCAATGCATTGAACATAGGTTAGATTTACAGTGAAAGCTTCTTATCCAGTTCACAGTGCTTTGGCTGATGGTGGAATCAACGTGGTTCTGTGCAATTGAAAGTTGGTCTTCACATGGGATAAATTTACCTCTTTTGCATTGCCGATGCATTGCAACTCGCCGTTCACAAATATCCCCAGACGGTCACACAAAGCTTCGGCCTCCTCCATAGAATGAGCTGCCACCAGATGTGTCGAGAAACGTGTTAATGTAAGGTCAATCTCCTACCATTGAATTCATGCGTCGGCGGGTGTGTTTTGTTGCCAAGGATTATTTCATACTGAACACGATGGTGATTTAAAAAAGACAGTATGACTCACTTGTGAGAATGATTGCACGGTCTTTCTTGGATTGCTTCACCACGTTCCAGAGGTTGTATCGGGATGCTGGGTCTAGGCCAGTGCTGGGCTCGTCCATGTACACTACCTACAAAACATTTTGCAACTCAGCAAGAGATGCATGGAGCTCACTTATAAAAACTTAAGCAAAATGCTATAGAGGTTTAGAGACGGATTATTCTTTGGCAGTGTTGCAGACTTGAGAATTTGTAGTGCTACCAAGTTATCAAGCATGTAGATCTCAAGGTCTAGATGACTGAAAAAGCGTAACAGAGCAAGTGCTTACTTGTGGCTTCCCAATGAGAGAAACGGCAACACTCAGCCTCCGCTTCATTCCACCCGAGTACGTTCGACACTGCTTGTCAGCCACTCCGTTATCCCAAAGGTTTACACTTCGCAAGGATGATTCCACAGCCTGTACAAATTCAATAAATCATTCATCAAACTGAACAGCCTGGAGGCATCCAAACTTTAATGAACACAACCAAAACAGACATGATAAAGCTTCTGAGTGCTAACACTGTTGAGATCTGCTCCTTTCAAGTTCTTCAAGCGACCATAGAATAGGAGGTGTTCACGGCCAGTCAGCTGTCCCCAAAGCAAACTGCACAGAAACTCCCAACCAGCACACACTAATGAGGGACTGTCTTCAGATCATGTGACATGAAACAAAACATAAAACTATCAAAAATAAAAATAAAACAATGTTACGAAAGATAGAGAATGCGGGACGTACTCATGCTGGGGGCAAACACCCATGCACGAGTAGATACGGTCCATATCTGTGAGAATGTCCATCCCTTGTATGTAGGCGGTGCCAGACGATGGCTTCAAAAATCCGATCATCTGCAATTGACAGACAAGTACACCACAGATGAGTTGATGCCAGATCCCTAAAGCCAAAAAGCGTTGGTATCAAAGCTGCATGTCTGCCGAGGTTCTGAAGTGCACAGCATGCATGTTTTCTAGGCAGAGAAAGAGCGAGGAGGGTACCATATTGATGGAGCTCGTCTTGCCTGCGCCATTTGGGCCAAGGATGCCGAAGCACTCACCCTTGGGCACCGCCAATGAAAACCCTCGCACGGCATATTTGGGCGGGTTACCGTCCCTAGCAGGATATACCCTCTTCAGATTATCACACACTATTGGATACTCCTTGCTGGGATGAGCAGCCAGCTCCTCTACTTGTTCTCTCTGTAATAGTTCGTACACAATGAGATGAGAGATGATCTCGAACAGAATATGTACGCAAAGAAGAAATCATCTTTGAAGAGTACAACCAAGGGAAGAGGGAACTGACCTCCCGGGCAACATCTGGTCGATCGATGGCCTTGGCATCTTCGGCGTTCATATACGCCATAGCTCTTGAACTGCCAGAGAATCTGCGAGAACGGGCAGTTGTAAGGGCAGCCTCAGGTTTCGCCCCCTTGCGTTTGAAATTTAGGAAGAAGAGAGGATGCTTGTTGATTCCATTGTCGGATGATACAACTTGGTCCAAGTACAGGGCTAGTAGCATGAATACAATCGCCTCAACAGCCAAGATAATCAATGATGTCTGCAATTTATTTTTATTATCCTTGAGATCGCTCCACTGCATGCCCTTTATGTCTGCATAAACAGCGCCGAAGGCGTACTGTGAAAACTCGTAGAGGCCGTGGTACGTTGTAAATGGAGGAATGCACTGCAATACGGTGACGACCGTTCCTGCGAAGAAACAGAACATCACCCCACTTTCGTTCACAATCAAATTCCATCAAGAAAACTTTTGCGTACGACAATCACCGAGACTCTCAAAACACTCGGACACGTCCGAAACATTCTGAGCTTGAAAGTAGAGTGCATAGGACGTCGACTTACTGCTAGTGTTCAAGTCTACAATAAAATTCTCGTAAAGGAAGGCACCGAGCAGTCCAGACCCAAAGACGTAGATATACCCGAACACTGCCATCACGGAGTCAGAGTCAGAACATGTGGGATTACAACGAGAGTTTACCTCTCTGAAAGAACTCGCTCATGTTTCAATGAATTCACATTCGATGCAATTTGGGTTCAATCAAGGGGTGACATTGAGGAGCAAACCTGTGGCAGTTTTTACGCTCCGAAAGGCAGTGGATACCAAGAAGCTCAACGAAATGATCATGTTGACATACAGAAAGTAAAATAAAGCTTGTATACCGTAATCATTCTTAGTGAAGAAATTTAGTCCTGTAGAAAACAAAGCCCGGCATGAGAACCATTCAACAACGAATAAGAAAATCAAATCTAACAGAAATGTGAACCATCCGAGTGAATCCCCAAGGAAAGCACAAAATACAATTGTCATTAAGAATTTCGAAACTTACGAACAAGGGAGCCGAAGATGATGAAGCAGATCATGTAAATACAGAAGAGAACGAGATAGTAAACGTAGGTGATCGTCCAGTAGGCGCTGTCGCCGAGGCCGTGCATTTTCATCATCATCCGGAGATGGTGCTCCTTCTCATACACTAGCGCGGTCAATACCACCTAAAGAATTCATTCCAATTACAAACAGAGGGTGGGTTAGTTTTCTGAAATGGTGAATTCATCAATAGGTGAACACGTTTAAGGATAAAACACTATATACATAAGGGTGGAAGGTGTTAAGAGTTTAGGGTCGGTTGCTTACAGGAAACAGCAAGCCCAGCACCCACATGTAGAAGAGGGGCCCAAGAAGGGACGAGAAGTCGAGGCGCAATTGCGAGTTTGGCTTTGGGAACTCCTTAACGAAAAGTAATGGCAGCTCCGCGGCTCCCCCCTGCTTGTAGCGTAGGAATGCTTGCGCAGCCTACAAAAATCACATTAACATTGAGCAGACTGAGTGAGCCCAGCGTCCAAATATCCTTCCCCAATTGAGATTGATCCCTCTTCATAAGCAAGATTGAGTGCAAGACTTACCATGTTGAGTGAGCGAGAAACACGAATGACAAACGACGGCTGATCAGTTGTCCTATTGGCGTAGGTGTCATTGTATATAACATTAACATCAAACGATGCCGGGTTCGTGTTTCTGAAGTCAAAAGCTGCAACCATCACAGGCACAAAACTCAAAGGTTGACTGAAACACCAAAAGAAGGTTACCGTGTACTTGTTAAACAAGACTATAACATCGAAGATCTGCCGTCAGTAATCTAAATTATTAAACAAAAACAGAAGACTCACCGGCAGGATATTCGCCTATCTCTTCTGCAGGATTTCCCCTTCGGTAGCCTTTGTAGAGCAAATCGTTCACCACGGACACATTGTCACGCCACAATGGTTTTGTTTCCAAGCATGCAAGATCTGCACCTCACTCAAATCAGCCCCACTTCTGTGCAATCTCAAATTTCCACAATAATCACTTGAACCGATCATGGAGAGAAAATAAAAAAACAAAAAAACAGAGAGGGAGAACTAGGAGTAAACCTGGGCTGAGTACATATCCTTCGCCCACATCAACAGTGAAATTCGCTGTGTCACCCAGCGCGCCTGCACAACTGGGCCGGAGGACAGAGATTGGCCTCGACGAGGTAAATGCGGTCTCGATCAGAAGACTACTCTGTAGAATGGTATCTCCACCCTGCACACAGTAACACCGAATTGTTTAGCTGATCGGTTGCGTGGAAGGGCGGGCACATCTAAGCACAAAACTGCTTGTACTTGCGGAAGATCATGCACTACAATGACTTCGGTCATACGAGCGCCAGACTTACAAGTACAACTTTGGATAAAGAGTACAACAAGTTGTCCACAGAAGTCGAAGACAATGAACTAGCGTTCGTGGCGCCGATGCCTAATAGCAAGCCCGCCATAACTGCCACAAAAGATGGTAACGTACGTCAATCAACAAGCAAAACCCTACACACCACTTTCAACAGCACCCCAGAGGCTAATTCATTCCAGTACACTCGCCGCAAAGATTCCAAGGTGTGCACAGTTTATAAACTAGCACCGAACCAAATCACTAGATTTATTGACCAACAAGTTTTCCTGAGCAGAGACGAGTGCTTACTATCAGCGGTGGTTCTGTTGGTCCCAGTGTAAGGAATTGTAACTGCGCAAGTTCCAGCCACGCGACAAGAAGGGTCCTGCGTCAAGTCAGGGGATTGGTTTCGGGTGGCACGATACTGTGGCTCGGGAATCTGCAAAAGAGCAGGCCATGGGGTTGGATTCGCCATCCCACACCAAACAGCTTGATCATTGTTGGAGTATTCGAGTCCGCATCGTTGAATGCACGGGCCGCCGTTAGGGTCGGGCACACATTTGCAGCCGCACTTGAAGTCGCTGCCATTAAAAACACCATTGACAGCGACTTGGATGATGACAAGAAGAATGCACAGGAGTGCTGGGAAAAGCACCAAACAGCAATTCGTTCTCCAATTTCGTTTCTGCAATCACCGCGCACCCATCAGCAATTCCAATGGCAGCATAGACACTGCGCGACTCTGTGAACACTCGCTAGATCTTGTACATTAAAATGAGGGTGAGAAGAGTGTTTCGAAGCCATATCAATGCAAATCTAGCCCCAATTCTAATCAGCTGAAGAGAAAATTTCTATATCAACTTCAGATTGTACTGTTCAATCACAAAATAAGAACTGACGTGCTTGTTGCAGAAATCTATTGACTAGCAGCTCGAGAGTACCTGGAACGTTAGATTTTTGCGGAACAGCGCATTGGCTTGAGTTTTCTTAGCAGTGACTCTAAGCGGCTCCTCCGCTTGCGTGCCGGCCTCCGGGTCCGCCCTATGACCATTCATTGTGACAGCGAATAAAGCATGAAACTATCTTTCCACCCTATGCTTCGTCAAAAAATTCACCTTCTCTCAAATATGTTTAACGGTGACAATGCAAACAACGGCCTTCACTGCGAGGAATAGAGGGAACTAGCTCCAGAACGTGCCCTCCACGTTTCAAACTCAATCGGCGGAATATTAGAGCGTCCGAACTAAGCCACGTCGAACTGTGCACAATCCCACCGATCGAATCCGCTTCCGTCACTGCAGCGCCACCGTACCTCTGCAATCTCTCGATGAATCGACTGCGCAGCTAATAGATCCAGGTTGAATAATTCGCTGACCCAAAGTCCACCAAGGGCTGTTTTCGAAGCACTAAGCTAATGACTGCAGAACAAGGTTTTACATACTTCGCCAGTCGACCCTATACTCTGCAGCAAGTCTTCGCTCTGCAGCACTTCCGCGACTCTTCGCAACTACGACTAACAGTACCAGACCATCGTGTGTGCGGACCGCGTTGACTAGTCCCTAGTTCCTACAAAATGCTACGATGCTTCCAGCCTGCTTCGATTCTAGCAGCGATGAACTTGCACTTGTCAGACATGGCGGTATTGTGCGACACTGCTGAACCGAACAGCGTCGGCTAGAAACTATAAGCATGAACCGCACCCGGTTAAAACCAATGTTGTTTTTTCACTAGATCAAAGGGAGGCAGCCGCAGAAGTAAAACCTTTGAAGCAATTTGGCCAGGCTTAAACTTTCTCCCGGTTTGATTCTTCCGTCTGAGATAGGGGCTATGATCCAAACCCACGGAATCGGTAGGGACACGTCAAGTTTGATTGTGAACCCTCGCTACTTACATTGATTGGCCTAGATCTCTGTAACGCAGAGAAGTCTCCTTCTGCTAAAGCATCCGAGTGGGATCCTGAAGGACAATTTTGAGTTACAAGGAGATGGAAAACATGTGTTGCCATAAATGCTGGAATGTTCAAAAGTGATACATTCGTTGGAGCCTCGCATCAGCTGATGTGAAATGAGATTTACCTTGCGAGGCTTTCAGCAGCTTTTCTTCAAGAGGACATAGATTGAAAAGAACTGCGCTGCAACTTGGAACCTCACATTTCAGATGTGCTGGTCTACAGTTGTTCTGTAGCATTAAATACTAAAGGTATTCTTCACATTGACCAAAGATTGGGCATCGGAGGGGTCTATTCCGTACCCTTCCTGATTTGCCGTTTTCAACATCGGAAGCGGCATTTCGGGAAAGTAGTTGACATAGAGAGAGTGCACTAAACCACAATACAATGCACTTGATTGAGTTAATTGTATTCCAAAGATCCGCACAACTTGAAGGTTATAGGTCCGGGCTTGTAGGAATAGCGCGACGCTGTTGCAGTCCACCTCTTTATCGGAACCTCCGACATGGCGCATGTGGAGTGGACGATGACCACGCCATCAACCTTGGAGCAAAAGCATACGTTCTGTGAGATGGCTCATTGGATCGGGCTACTTTCTACATGTGCTGAGCATGCAGTAAAATTGAGAAAAACAATCTCTTAACTCTGCACTATTCATTTGCTTTATTTATTGAAGCCATTGGGGTAAACTTATGCATGGGTCCATCGGAAAAGGTTGAGATGTCAAAGCTGGGATACGAGATATTTTCAACCATTCTCTTAACTGGATTGTTCATAACCGGAGAGTTTGAAATTGGCACAACATTCTTCGCCCAGGTGCCGTCTCGTCACAATTCATCCAGAACGCGTAAAACTCAATGCAAAGAAGGAAGTTGAAAATGCGTCCTCGGTGCCTTTCAAGGAAAAAAACCACGATTTTCCAAAAGACCACCCTCTAACCAATTCATTCATCAATCCCTCTACGCACTTTATCCTAAACAAAATATGATATTTTGTTTAGGATTAAGAGTAGACAAACTGGGAATATTTTGATAAAGAAAAAATCAATATTAAATCCTTGTAAATATTTTTTGGCTTGCACACAGAAACAAAAGTATCATGTACATTGAGTATTTTTGTGTATGACAAAAAATAAAAATAAAAATAAAAAAGAAAGAAAAGAAAAAGGGTTGAAGCAAGAGTGATGATTGAAAAATAGGATTGAGAAGCAGCCATGAACAAACTTCAGCACCCATGTATGTGAATGTCGATTATTGTGGGCCCAATGAGGAATGGGTTTTGAGTTCTCAATCTGCTCCCCCCCCCCCTCCCTGTTTCCCCTACGTTCCCTCCCTCCGTTCCCAGAAATCCGATCAGCGGTCGAGATTGCATCTGAGCGGCAGCGGCGATCCGACGGCCCACGATGGCGGATCCAGTCAATTGAGTAGTGAGGTTTCTACACAATTCTACGAGGCTGTCTGTGTGTGTGAGTGGAGAGCAAACTTTTGCGAATGAGCGGCGAGAAGTGACAACCCCCCCCCTCCCCCCCCTGTTACTTTTTTCCTGTGGCAGTACTGTCACGAATTCACTTATCTTGTTATTCTGTTGAGAATTCTCGTGAAATCCGATGAAGCTCCAGGAGATCCCCAGCAACTATTCCTTCCGTCGCACGCTCCCCTTCCACATTGTCGCGCACACTCCCCTTCCACATTGTCGCGCACACTTCCCGAGCCCTCAACAGCCACAATGTAGTGGCTCGCTGCATCGGTTCAGTGCCCACCGAATCAGCGGAAAGGTAGTTGCCGAGCAGATCCTTGCGATGCAGTGCGATCGGAGATTTGTGCTTCGTCGACGATAATAGTTACAATTTCGTGGAACTTGTATTCGGGTGTGTTTCCTAGAAGCTGAGAGGGGTGCTTCGCAGTACCTTCGTGCTGCTGAGTTCGCTGTTTTCCGAATGGCCCCGAATGGTGCTTTATTCTATTTTTTTCCTGTACTTTGGCCTGAATTTTAGCTTTTCCTTGGGTGCCTTTATTTATTTTATTTTATTTTATTTAATATTGGATCATGTTGCTTACTTGGTGCCACGATTGCTTGCCTTGGTTTTTTCTACTACGTGTTCTTGTTTATTTGTGTATAGAAATGCATACATGCATTTTGAGGATATATTTGGAGAATTGTTAACCCTGCATCCCCAATTGATTTTGTTACACTCCAAGTGACCTTCATATAGACAATTAGTTAATAATATGCCTTTTTCTTTTGTGCATTTTTTTTTTTTTTTTTTTTTTTTTTTTTTCTCTTTCCTTTGATTTAAGAAGGTTGAGAGGGAGATAATGAATATTTTATGACAAAATAAGTTGCGAGCTGTTGTTTTAAAAAACTGAATATTTGCTTCACAAACTGTTTAATTCAAAAAAAAAAAAAAAAAAAAAAAAAAAAGTACTTTTATATAAGCTACCATTTTTAAAATTTCATTCTATTTTTAGCTTAATATTGGAATTAAGTATTGGGTTGCAAAATGCACCCCTAAGCTTAGAAGCATGTATTTTAGTCAATTTAAGTTGTGTGAAGGTCATGTGGGGTGTAGTGATATCAATTAGGGATGTAGCTTTAATAATTTTCTACATGTAATGATATTCTAATGTTTTTCCTTTTCTTCAGTTGATTATTATTGTGGTTGAAAATGCTGAGATATTGGGTATTGGATTAAATGATTTGAAGTGGTTGTTATTGGATAATGTTTGAATTGCATCCAGTTTTGATAAAAATAAAAATGGTTTGAGTTGAGTCCTTCAATGTGATCTGAGGTGAATATCTGAAATTCAGTTTTTTTTTTTTTTTTTTTTTTTTTTTTTTTCCTTCTTCTTGATGAAAGTGTACATTCATTTGGTATTATGTTTAATTTATCATTGAAATTTTTATTTCATTTATTTTATCCAAACATGAAAGTTCACATGAAAAACCACTGATTGCAATATTTGTACATAGTGAAATGACCTATTGCATGTTAACTTTGTTAAGCTTGCAATATATGTTATTTACATATTGCAACACAATACTGGATGAAAATAGCTCTGAATTATTTAAAAAATGCTTAAATGATTATTGAAATTTCAATATTTTTGAATTTATTTAATTTTACAAGATATAAAATTATGAAAATTTTCTATTCATAAAACAATTCATTCATATAGTTTGTTATAATATTATTTAAACAACTTTAAATTTCAAGTGATATATATTTAAAGTTTAAGTACATGTATGTATATATATATATATATGCCTATGCTATGTATACATAATATGTTGAATTTAATTGCCATGACATGGATAAAAAAAAACAATGGATATAGTTGTAGTTCTTCCTAGTTTTATAGTAAGAAAATCATTAAGAATGTATTCTAAATGCATCTTTGATCATCACTAGAGTTACTTATTACAAATTCATTATTTACTCAAATAATAAGAACTAGACAAGTAAGACTAAGTAATGTTATAATACTGATGATATTCTTATCCTTGCCCCCAAAAACTACCCCAAAAAGTACTGAAGCCATGGTAGTTCTTATTTTGGTCTATTTTATTTATTAAAGCAACAAATATACCTCAATTGTATTAAAAGATAATAATGAAAGTACAAAGATTATCCATTGTTTTATAAAAAAGTTATACTAATATTTTTTAGTTATTATATTTAACTATTGATGTTTAAAGTATATTACAAAATATTTTTTAAAAATTTATTTTCTTTTATTTTAGATTTTTTTATTAAAAATAATAAGTTAGAAAGAAAAATTGTTAATAAAATTATTTTACTATTAATTTTTTTTTCTTTTATCAAGTAAGCAACAATCACATAATTTGATATATATTATGTTTAAGTTTTTTTATTTTTTTATTGATGAGGTACATTTTAAACCTCTTAGTGAATAAGAAAAGACTTATTGTCATCAAGAAGGACTATATTTATATTGTGGAGAAGCTAAACACACTACTCAACATTATCTAAAGAAACGATACAATTACAAAATGAGGAGTATGATTGTCAAAGATGAGAAAGTGTTCAAAAGCAAATTTTTTTCAGCTATATTAGGGACTATTGTCATGTTGTGGTTTGGCTACCATATAAAAATATTATATTTATATGTTTGATATATAATTTATTGAGTACCATAATAAGAGCCATGTTAGTAGATTTTAATTGGTTGAAGAATGTAATTAGATTACTATTTTGAAAGGAGGTTGTTTAAAAGAACTATTTTTAGAATTTACATAACATTATTTTTTTTGATAGTGGTTTTTAAGATTAATTTTGGTTGATATTAATTTTTACATATTTAAAGTCACCTTTGTTAGACATTGGTAACCTTTAAAGTCTTATTTTGTTTCTTTTATTTGGAGTTTAGGGCATATTTTATGTAGATCTTGTAAGAAAAATGATTGGAGAGGGATTTTTGTAGCAAAAAGAATAGTTAAGGTGTCCATGTGGATGAATGGAGATAGATGATGAAAATCTCCATTCCAATTGGCCAAAAATCATACCAAATGGGCTTCAAGGAGGCTGTTTGAAGCCTTATTAGGGATTATGATTATGCTTTCAAGGTCATTCGAGCTTTGGAGGCTAAAATCAGCAAGTTTAGGTTTTTGACTATGGTTTTGGTACAAATTTTATATGATTTGGAGTCT